TACTTGTGACCGCAGGGGGACCCAGGCTGGAGCAGGCTGCTCCTGAAGGACTGCTCCCCATGGGAGGGACCCCAGGCTGGAAGAGGGACAGAGTGTGAGAAGTCCTCCCTCTGAGAAGGAAGGAGCGGCAGAGACAATTTGTGATGGACTAACCACAACCCCCATTCCTGTCCCCCTGTACTGCTGGAGGGGAGGAGATAGAGAACTTAAGAGCAAAGCTCAGCCTGGGAAGAAGGGAGGGGTAGGGGGAAGGTGTTTTTAAGATTTAGTTTTTATTTCTCATTATGCCACTCTGATTTGATCGGTAACAAAGTAATTTCCCCAAGTCAAGTCTGTTTCTCCTGTGATGGTAATGGGTGAGTGATCCTTCCCTGTCCTTATCTTGAGCCATAAGCTTTCATTGTATTCTCTCACCCCTGCCCAGCTGAGGAGGGAAGTGACAGCGTGGCTTTGGTGGGCATCTGGCCTCCAGCCAGGGTCATCCCCACACAACTAAAGAGATGAATTCAAAACACAGGACCTGCCTGCTGCACTGGGAAACAACGCAAGGTCGGAGTGGCATGGAGAACTCTAATTGTGACTGGTGACTTTCAAGAAAAGGCTATTTAACCCCAAGCCTGGGGTTACCACCATGACATGCCTGTCATTCTGCCTTAGCCTCCTGCCCTACAGCATGCAAGGGCTCTGCTCCTGCACATCCTGTTGACACAGCACAGTTCTTCAGTGGACAGCACTGGAATCCTTTCCCTAGATGAATCTAACAAAAGGGTACGCCTATTGCTGTTGCTACCTAAATTTACCTTAAAAGCAGATATTGTCCTATAATCTTAATTTCTGTATTATGAACTTGGTGAATATACAATATAAAAGTAACAATCCCCTAGCAAAAAGAATGTAAAAAAGCACAAAATTTAGATTAGCATGAAAATGTTTAAAGAGCAGCAGCATGCTGGCAAACTATTTCAAGGGTAACTTTTTTCTCCACTTCTTGATCTAGCCTAAGGCTAATGGTGGAAAAAAAGGTTTTATAGAAAATCTTGATAGAGGGAAAGAAAGGAAAATATGTGAAGTGTAATTTACACTAACTTAAACTGATGAAGACTTTAGGTTGAGCAAGAACAAAAATTAGCCGTGTGGTACAATCAAAGGCAATCACAGTAGAACCAAACAAGTATCATTGCTCCCTCAACTAAAATATGATAGCAAGACTCTAAGTTTACCAAAATATTCAGAATTCCCATAAGTAACCTTCAATTTAAAATCAACTAGCCTGATACACACAAAGATTCAGAAGGCTTTAAAAACATTCTCTTTATAAAATGTTGACTAGTTAATTGCTGAAAACTAAACTCACACACTTAAATTCACTTACCTTATGCTTATACTTTTCAGAAGCTCTGTGAAAGTGAATGTCATTTCATCCAGATCAATTGATACAATAAAGATACAGACTCCCCATGTTTCTTTTTTCTTTTTGTTATAAGCCTTTTTAAAAAAAAAAAAAGTATTTATTTATATTATGCAGTAAAAGTGGATAATATATGGAAAGCATTCGTTTGCCCAAACTAGATCACAAATGGTAAAACAGAACACCCTCAAGCAAACATTTTACTATGATAGCCAACAATGTGGTAACTGAAAACCATTCCAAGTTTTACATTTAAGATGAAAGATCAAGCCCTTCAACATTTATTCCTAGAGTACAACATCAATTTTATGGATACAATCCAGCAAAGCACTGAAATAGCAGCTTGGTTCCACAGAACATTAATGCAAACCAGAAACCATGATTTCTTTACTTTTTAAGTTCTATATTTAATTCCAATGTAACAGGACACTGGAGGTTAAGGAATCAGGAGAGAAGCCTTAAGAAAGAAATAGAAAATCATTAAAAAGACAGGCAATAAATACTCATGAACTTTCTTCTCCAGCCAGGTCTCAATCACTTATCACAGCTGAACCACAGACTCATCTCTTCGTTCAGTAAAGTGTGATAGTAACAAACACCTTCAGGCATTTTCCTAACACACATCTCTACTTCAGGTCTGTCTTCTGCTGCGCAGAAGTAAGGCACAGGCTGTAACTGATCACCCTTCACCAAAGAAAAGCCGCAATGACAGACATGTCATCCATGTGGAGTTCATTCCTGATGGTTCACAAGCTGGTCACTTGGAGCCAGCCAGGATTCCATTACAATTCCAGTACCCTTCCACCAAAACAGCATCTCAACAGAAAACTTCTAAAGAGGGAAGTTTTGGAGAAGCACGCAAGACAAAACCCAAGCAGGTATACCCCAGGTTTTGGAAGGGAAGCTATTATGAAGACAGAACTAGGTGTGGGTGCAGCCCTGCAAGACTCCTAAAACAGCAAACTCACAGAATACTCTTCGGACATTTGGCATCCTTGTAAATAGATCATCAACATCACCCAGGCCCACGGCCGCTCCAGGAAAGGAGCAGAGTTTGAGTGCATCTCTCAGCAGCTCTAGGTCGGATGTGACATCTGTCAGATGATGCAGGTGAAACAGACCCCCAGGAGTGAGTGAGCTGAAATACCAAGCTCCTGCTCTTCCACACTGCTTAGTTTTAGCCCACTCCCTGTCCTACTTTTTTTATCCTTTCCCTGATCGCTCCACCGAGCTGCCTCCCAGACAATACCAATGCAAGTCACGGGGGCCAGTTCGCTCCAGAAAATACTCCCAAATGGCAGTAGGAGTAAGATTACACCAGACCTGGCTACCTCCAGCCTATGCGGTCTTCCAAAACTACCCCGAAAGGCTCTGCACCGTCAACACCCACTCGTATCCTCGCTTACTCAGCCGTCTAAACATGACAAATAGCTTGCCGTACCTGTAAATGATACAACAATTTCACTAAATGCCAACGATTATACGTTTATGTTTTTGCAAATGCTCTGCCGTTTTCTTGAGACAAGTGTTTATACCTCCATTGAGGCTGGGACCTCCTCCAAGGAATGAAAAGTTTCATTAGTTTGTGCAGTCGGTAAGTTATAGCACAGGCTTGAATGCTAAAGTAACCAACCACCTTCAACAAGGTGCTAACTGTCCATTATTTGAGTTACTACTTTCTATGAGCGTTTCTACGAATCGTGACACTTTTGTACAACACAACATTATTAACAGACTGAGATGCACCTGATGATACATCAAGGAATGGATATTAACATCAAATAGTCACTGTCGTTATCAGAAACCCTCACTTTTTAGATATTTTATGTAATATTGTATACCACCAGCAACCTAAAGATGAGGCAAAAAATTTGCTCAAGGGGGTTTTGCACAGAAGAAAGGCTTTGCAAAGAGCTACGCTCCCACCATCTCAGCCCCTCTCAGCAATACTTTGCTGATAGGTACAACAAGCTACCAGGCACAGAACAACAAATGTCCTGTAGGACGGGAATGCCTATTTTCCTGCATTAATATGTCTGTGATGCATTGTAAAAAAAATCTGAAGGTTAAGGCCAGCTAGTGACCTAAAAAGAAGGATGACTACTCACTTACTGAGGACATTACTGCCACTGGAGTCAGTTGACCTTGTTTCACAGAATCATGGAATGGTTTGGGTTGGAAGGGACCTTAAAGACCATCTAGTTCCAACCCCCCTGCCATGGGCAGGGACACCTTCCACTAGACCAGGTTGCTCAAAGCCTTGTCCAGCCTGGCCTTGGACACTTCCAGGGATGGGGCATCCACAGCTTCTCTGGGCAACCTGTTCCAGTGCCTCACCACCCTCTCCGGGAAGAACTTTCAAACCTCCCTGCTTTCAATTTAAACCCATTACCCCCTGTCCTGTCACTACAGGCCCTTGTAAAAAGTACCCCCCAGCTTCCTGGTAGCCCCTTCAGGCACTGGAAGGTGCTATAAGGTCTCCCCGGAGCCTTCTCTTCTCCAGGCTGAACAAGCCCAACTCTCTCAGCCTGTCCCCATAGCAGAGGTGCTCCAGCCCTCTGAGCATCTTTGTGGCCTCCTCTGGACTCGCTCCAACTGGTCTATTATGTTATGGACTTATGCTGTTGGGGCTCCACAGCAGGACGCAGCACTCCAGGTGGGGTCTCACAAGAGCAGAGTCGGTTGGCTTTCTGGGCTGCCAGCACACACTGCCGGCTTATGTCCAGCTTTTCATCCACCAGTACCCCCAAGTCCTTTAATAAATAAGTTCCCTTCACTTAACGCTCCTGCACACTCTGACTATGAGGCTGTTCTGTAAATACAACATCTCGTAGGGCAGGAATACCGAGTGCTAGGAAGTGGTGAAATTGTTCCTGGTTTACTGCCTATCCAAACAAGCTTGGCTCTCCTAGGTGGCTTAGCTCTACCCCAGGAGGATGAATGTTTGACAGCCATAGCAATGGCTTATTCGGTAAGAGCAAGGTCTGGTTTTATAAGAACAATCTGTAAACTCCTTATCCAGTATGGTTCAGGGTATTAACTCCTTTATTTCTACCAATAAACAAGACTGCAGCCTCAGAGGCAGCAGACTCAAACTAAATTCTAGTATCAGGATTACACGCTTACCTGCTCCCAGTGTTCCAGGGTGCTTTGAGCACCTCCTCCTCAACCAGACAGATGTTGAATGACTGCTGGACTGAAAAAGCCTTACACAGAACCCAGGATTACGCTTGTTTTCTAGCAGCAAAGAAAAGGTGAGCAGCCCTTGAGCCCTCCTCTTAACATCAGCTGCATGAGGGAGGAGAGGAGAACTCACAAGAACACTAGAACAGGGCCATCCCACCAGCCACTGCTGGTTAGAACCCCTAAGGACGCAGGCAAACTGCAGTTCCCTCCGAAAATAAGACTATCTGCACATACTCATGCATGAAGATTTTAGTGCTTTTAATACATCAGATATAAACATCATGGGGTAGAAGGGAAGAAGAGACAAGGAGAGGTCTTCCTGGCAAGTCAGACCCCTGAGTGTTCTCCTCCTCATACCACTTCCCTGCCATAGCTCACATACATTTTTTCAAGTCCTTTCCTATACAAATGAACCAAAACTGACCACAGAAGAAAAATGTGGCAGCATCACCCCGTTCAAGTATTTTGCCTGTGTCGTAACTCCAGGGGAGCCAATCCTACGACTCAAATTAACAGTTTGTTTACAGTACAAAGCCAGACGATTGATCCCAGATGGACTTCAGGGCATGGGAATGGATGCAAGACAAATTCACAGCCAGCAATTCATTTCTGAGGGTTTCCTTGTTGACCACAGTCTGACTCACAACCTTCGTTGATACAGCACCACTACAGAAAAAGGGCAGGACAACAGCTCAACATTTGTCCTCGACTGTCAGTTCCAGGGACCTTAATTCAACTCATTACGAATCAATACCTACCCATCACTAACTCAAATATTATTTAGCACCTAGTAGACTACACAGATTTCTTTCTTTTTTTATTTAGGATTCTGGGGAAACCAATGCGGTAACTTTGGGCAATGTAGGTCAGTTCTGTTGAATCAATATAGGTTTTTTTTATAGTTATAGAAGGAAAAGATCTAAAGCTCTTACACACTTTTTCAAAATATTTATTTCTCATTCTGGACTTACTAATATTTAATCTATTTTTGGCAGATCATTAGTTTGCTTAAATCTAGTGAAAACAACCTGGAGGAGTTACAGGCTTATAAATGCTCAAACTGAACTACTGTGAAACAGGATTTTTGCCTCTCCTTTCCAGATGTTGTTGCAAGCTGTTAAAGGCACTAACAGAAATAACTTCTGTTCTCTACCTCAAGAGGTTCTCCAGTTCTAATCCACTCACAAGGAGGAGATAGTCACAGGAAGTCTCAGTTCTAGTTAACTGTTAATAGATGTTTATTATTCTGCCAGCAACGATAAGAGTTTCAATGACAGCCTACAAAAGTAATCCAGGAATAGAAACTTCAAATGATGTTGTGTAAAAGAAGGTCAAGAGAACGTATATGAGAAATGTGCACACACAGATAGGCATTTGAATCAAACAGGATATGGGATGTCACACTGTAAATACCATAAACCTGATTTTTGAAGGGGAAGATGTGGAACTTCTTGGCTTACTGAAACCTCAGCCACCACATCCTAATCAATATAGGGAACTAGCTAGATGGTACAAGAAACATTCAGAGGTATGTTCATCGCTGCAGGGGGAGAAGATGGCAGGGAAAAAAAGAATCAAGAAGCATTTACAATAGACAACTGATCAGAATTAAGACTTGTAGGAAAATTTTCCTAGGGAAAAAAAAGTGAATACCAGACCCACTGTCTGCATATATGAAGTTCTGTGTAAAGACAGATCCTCCGTTTTCCAGCAATAACCATTTTAAATTTTCTATTGAACACTGTCTGGAAGATTACTATCAGTTCTCAACAGATTAAATCAAACATAACACTAGCTGAAAGTAATGGAAGTCAATGGAAAACACCGAACTGATGAAAATAGCTCTTCTGATATGAAAACTTCCCATTACACTTTTCTGGCGTGT